CTCACGAAAACTATCATAGTTTTCGTAATTGTAAAACTTGTACTAAGTTTCGGCCAGTCCTGCAGCTGCTCGAACACAATTGGCGGGTGTTTTCGAACCCGTTGGGATGTGGGAGCGTTGCTGGAGCATTGGGGGTAGGCGCGGTTTTTCCTGCGGACTGTGCATAACTTACCGACTCCGCCTGCGTCTAGGCTTGTTGAAAATATATCGAAGTATCGATATATCGATATTTTTTGCCGATATATTTTGATTCGATATATCGATATATCGATACAAAATAACCAATATCGAAATTCGTATCAAAAACGATATTTTTTTAATTATTAGCGGCATATCACGATCTAACTAAATTCGTATCTGGAAAAATCATAACTAGATCTCAGATTAATGATATTCAACATATCTATGATCGGTGCTGTATTTAGTATTGTCTATTATTTGTAAATCTGTTTCGCTGGTGAATTGGTTGTGCTGATTTCCATTATATTCTGTGGAAGTGTGTGACTGTCTAGTCTTGTTTACGAAAGATGGCACCTGAGAGGCCCTGGCATTGGCATTTTCATCATTCGAAAATAGGGTCTATTTTTAGGGAGATAATTTTCGTTCCATTATTATTCCGCGTGTCATATTTCGTGAGATACTGTACTGTCATGTAGTGTAGCGGCAATTTGGTACTTTGATAATTCTTTCTTTAATTATAATTTGTATTGAACTATTATTACTATGCTAGGCTGACCTAAATATATTTTTGGAAAAATTGGCCCGATATATCGATATTTTTTTTCGCGATATATCGAAGCCGATATTGATATTTTTTAAAATATCGATGTATCGATATATCGATATTTTTTTCAACTTTCGACATCCCTACCTGCGTCGGTAAAACAGTAGGTTGTCGTTGTCCTCGGGCTGCGGGGGCGGTTTCTCGCCTGGATTGGCCTTCTTGCTTCGGGGTTGTAACCGGAGTTGTTACCGGGGTAGGTATGTGTGGCCCTGGAAGACGCCTCAATTAAAACAAGCTATGCGTTCTGACTGACCTTTATTACAAATAAATGCATAATTTAAGGGTCGAGGTGACGCACACACTACACCTCCCCCGATTTTTTGAAAAAGAAAATTGTGCTAGTTTACTATTTTTATTTTAAAAATAACAAATAGTGAATCACTCCACTTTTTACAATTCAAAAATAATCATTTGAATGTTACTAATTGATAGCTTAACACTGTTTTTGCCTAATATAATTTATTTATTTATACGAAGATATTACATTAAAATAACACAAAAAAAACAATGTTTTTAATTTAAAATAGAAGATCAAATTTTAATACACATTGTTTTCGTTAACAATCAAATGTATGGTTCAATTTTGTTACTTTAATCTATGTTTTATGGAAATTTTGACTTTAATAATCGTAAAACATAAATAAAGAATACTACTAAAGGCCTCAGAAGTTAAAGCCTGCCAATAAAAAAAAAATGGGTGCGTGTACTCATGTAGGCGCGTGAGAAGTTATCCTTCTTTGGCATGTTTTAAAATTAGTTTTTAATTGCATGCAAATAATTAATTATAATAAATTAATAAAAAGTCTGGAAAAGGACACAGTCAATAAAGTTCAGTTTTAATTTGAAAAAATAAATAAGTCTCCTGAATCGCGCTTTGGTTCCGTTGTTCCAGATTAATAAATACTTTTGATAGGCCTTCACAATGCAGTCGTTAGCACCCACTAAATAGAGATTCTATTTCTATTTTGTTGTTAGATTTTCTTAATGTGCGGTAAACACAAAAGTAACGCATGAAGTTGGTCGCTAAAGCGACCAACTTCATGCTGTTAAAATTTTGTGTTACAGTGATGCGCGCGCATCTTAAAATTTCACTCTCATCAATTTTTCATAACGCGCCTAAAGAAGTATAACTTCAAAATACATGTAACAAATTTAAATATGCCTAAAACATATCAGTTTAATAAGTTTATAGTCAAATGACCATTGCAGTACATTTCAACAATATTCAAAACATTAATTAGCCAAACCGAAATTACTATAAGTATTTTACTCTAATTTTCAACAATTACTTGTTATGTTAAAATAACAATCTGATAACAAGAACGCATTTTTTAATACTTATAAAGTATGAAACACAATTACAATCTATAACAATAGTACTTAAGGATGTTATGGTTTGTTTTTATTTTTATATAATCATATCTGTTTAACACCTTAACTTATTTCTTCAGACACTAATATATATATATAAAAATGAAACCCGTTTTCCGTTGTCACGACATAACATGAAAACGGCTTGACCGATTTGGCTGTTTTTTTTTGTAGTTTTCTAATACTCTGTACAAGGTTCTTACGGAAAAAAATATAAAGAAAATCCCAAGGGGATAAAATAAGGAATGAAAGTTTGTATGAAACTTTATCAATTTTAAACCGATCGGGCTGAGACTTTGCATGCAGGTATAAGAAGAATCATAGATGAATGTCATTGTGTATAATACAAGCCTGAGAACAAAAACTGTAGTCTACACTTCAGCTCTACACCGAAGCGAAGCGAGGGCGGGCCGCTAGTAGTTTATAAAATAAATGTATTTAATACGTTAATGGAGTCTTATTATCATTTGATCTTTAATATGATTTTAATTGTATACTTTCACTGTTGACAACCCTATTATTTAAAGGTTTATCTATGTAGCTTAAAATAACATACACTTACCAGTTTGATAATATATTACTTTAGTATTAAAAACTGTCATAAGATCAGATAAGTTATTACTTATGAAGTTAACAATACAACACAATACCTAATAAATGATAAAAGAATAGGGGTGATGACGGGGTACAGTAAACGAAATTCTATTTAGACCATCAGTTTAATAATCAAAAAATAATGGACACGTATTTTTTTTTGGGCAATCAACCAAAAAATGACAAAGTTATAACGCCTCAAAGTTTGGGAGTAGGGGCTCGTGACGTCACTTTTGAGTGAATTTTCCCTTAAAAGTATACTCAAATGTAACGTCATGCGACTTTTCTAATCAATATATCTCTGCAATGTTTATATTATGTGAAAAAAATGGTTGCCTGTAAAGTCGGTTTTACGGGCGAAGATTTTACGTGACAACGTCTTTTTCTCGGTAGAATATTTATTGATATGAATATAATTAAATTGCACAATAGGAACAAGGAATTGAATGAAAATAAGAATTGCACAAATTTTAACTATAGAAATATATTTTGTTTACTAAAACATTGTACATGTAAACTTAAACTCATCGTAACGTTACCGAGCGTTACACTTTTTCATAAGTGACTCCCAGCCGCAACCTAATTTAAGACGTTGTCACGTCAAAAAGAAAAAATACGTGTCCAATACTTTTTGATAATCTACCTGATAAACGAAGAAAAAAAATAGTCATCATCCCTATTAATAAGAACGTTATTCAATAAAATGTCATAATAGTAACTTTAGATCGTTTTTAAATATTACTTTACATAAATACCATACTTGTCAATACTAAGTACTTTCGAAATAAGTAAGTATATTATTATATTAACTTGTATGACACTTTTAAGTCTATGCAATAATTTCTGAATTTTATTTAATTATTATGACGCGGGTTTCTTTTTAGTAAGTAGGTATACTTACATTTGTTTTGATATACACTTAACTTCGTTAGATCCTACGAATTTATTGACGCACCAAAAAAACCTTAGTAACCTCTTTTTTTTAATATAATTATGTTATTCTTGGTCATTCTTTATTCAATAAATAATAATCCTATTCCATTTTATCTTTTGATATAAGTATTTCCCTTTCAACACCCCAAAGTATTCATACCCTTGAACTTGAGCATTACTCTTTTTAATAACGATCAATATTCCTTAATACCTTTATTTCATTTTCATAACAAATCATCCTTTTATGAAATAGTACATTTCATAACACTACTTATTTTCAATAATACTTTTTCCATATACTTTCACTCTTATTAATATCTTTCATTCCATAATAATAATTCTCGGTACACTTAACACACATTTTTATACAGGAACTTTGAACACATTTATTCGCTCGGCGCCAGCGTTCTTTCATTTTCATTTAACATTTTATAATATTTATGGTACACACATTCATTTTATTTATTTATAGTCGACTTTACACAACAAATGGACAATATCCTGCCATTTTGGATTGTGCGCACAACCTATATATTCGAGGTTCATGATTTAAGCCTCTTTTGGACTCCAACATATCTCACAGAGAAACGCATTCTACACCATGATCGAATGGAAGGATCTGACCCTCCATGTACCACCATTATCATTAATAGATAGGGTTCTCGTGGAATTCATGAGAATTAAGACATTTTTGGTCTCCAAATGTTAATTTTTAACAAAATAATAGTAATTAGAGAAGTACACTAGATAGTGTCTATAGCAACTTAAGCTAATCTGTGTCATTGTTTATGGTTGTGTACTCTATAAATAAAAAACTTTGCCTGTGGCTAACGCTTGTAGTTTCATTAGGTTATGGGCCCAGTCCCGCATTCTTTTTAGTAGTAGTTTTAGTTTTTAGTAGACAACTAATAAGACTGAAGGACCTGCCCTATAGTACCTTTTATGTGTACCGAATTTTCATACTTTCACTCTGGTCCTGTCTTTAGGTTCACAAGCGCATGCGGGGAAAGAGCCACAGGCAAGTACCCTCGCGCTCTCCCAAGATTCAGTCCGTATACCATGATTGGTAGGAAGGACCATGGGTTGATGGAGGGTTTGTCGCACCACACTCGTCGCGGACCGCGGCGCCGTCGCGTGCGCATCCAAAACGAAGTGCTCCGTATATTTTATTGTTAATTCCTTTTCAGTTCGGCTGAAAAGCGCCTAAAGGCATATCTTTGTGTGGTTATATATTTAGTGGATAATTTTAGCGATAGAACGTGGTTTTTATTGATTATTTTCTGTGTTTTTAGCATATCATTGTGATAGTGACACTGTGTTATGTGCTCGTAGCCCTTACGTGGTCACTAACCTCCGCCTCGTCCCAGCCGATGTACACTTTGCCCAACCGTATGAGCTGGTCCCGCAGTGGCATAGTGCAATCCAAGATGTATAGGAACTTGGTGCCTACCTCCTTTTTCAGGGCCACCTTGCACGATTCCTTGACCTTCTCAGGGGACCATTCTGGATCGTCGGACAGATTGAGCTTCTGCAGATCGTCTAAGAAGACCTCTTCGGATATATCCGACCGTAGGAACCGTAGAACGATTCGCGGCAGACGAGTTTTGGGGTCCGCTGCTTTTAGTGACGATGGTGCAGCTGCCTTAAGGTTCTGCGCAGCCTCTAAATTAGCAGTTCGAACTACGACTCTTGATTTGCCAACCATCCGTACACTTTGGATCCTAATGCCTTCGGATCCTGGCTTAATGGCGCTCTGCAGTGTGCGTTTGGTGTCCTCCGATGACTTCAGGGAGTCATCAGCCGGATAAAATATGACTGTCGGACCTTGGGGTTGGACAGGAAATGCCCCCAGCATTACCACGTGGAATTACCACGTGGATGTTCAGTATATTAGAGTAAGAGGGAACCTGCGGCACGAGGGCTGCGGTGAACTAACACACGCAGACTGTTTCAAGATTTCGATTTCCTTAGCGGCAACCTGTAACTTAGCAGCATTGGCCTGGTGCTCTGCATCAGCAAGGCACAGCTCCAGGGCAACGACGGCGGCGAGTATGTCCTGCGAGTGCCAGGCAATTACTGTAACTTTGTCGGTCATGTTCAATTTATTGGCCGCGTTGGTAATTGAGCCGATCCCTTTCAACGCCTTGTGTACCATCTCGAGCAATTGCAATTTGTTGAAGGAGGCAAGGCCCCCCTGGGCAGAGTTATTGGGATTGGGATCCGGTGTACTTGGGGCGAATGGGTTAACTTCGGTGGCGGCCCTGGGTCGGGATGTTCATATACCGCCTATAGGGGGAATAACCTGGCGATTTCTTTCCACTATACGTCGGCGCGCCAAATCCTGAACCTCCTCCGGTGACGCCAATGCCCTCTCAGTGGACGTACCAGGATTGACTGACGGGGACCGGGAACGCTGCGGTTCGGGCAGTAAACCCGGAGAGATAAAACCGCCATCTCTGGGAGGGGACCTGGACAAGGAGTGCCTGGGAGTGATCCCCGTAGTTGCCGACATCTCCTAAGCAAGTATCCTAAGCTCTGGCGGCAACTGACAACGTCAAAAAGCACGTGGCGTCGAAACCACGTTGCCACCAACCACAAACTTAACATACAAAATTAACCTAACACCACACGTTGTACTGTAAACGCTGAATTACGTTAAAATTGCAGCTAAAAATACAATTTACGACTCACCAAATGACCGAAGATGAAAAGTGTGTCCTGACACTGGACAAACCCCTAAGTCAGTCACCCCTAATTGGAGTGAGAAAACACCACACAACCCCAAACACCAACCACGTACACAGCAGTTAAATTTACAATAAAACAAGATAATAACATCAAAAACACAAAAACTATAAACGAAACACACAACACTAACTATATATAGCACAAGTAAAAAAGAAAAACACGAAAAATCATTATCGGAAAAAATTTGCACGAATACCCTCTCCATTGTTGCCCCCACATCTGGGTCTTTCCCCTCCAGGTCTCTTATAACCACCAGGGGCGCACACCCCTTTAGGTCGTAGGTAGGCAAGTAGTAGGTTCGCCTTCAGCGAATTCGGAAGAGCCACTTTCAATTTAGATAGGTCTTCCTTAGTGCGAGTCTGAACCACCACACCCGCATTCCCGACCCTTCACAATCTGTCCACCTGAATGTTTAATTTAGCGGAAGCGATGGAGGTCTTCAGTATCGACTTTGTTTCCTCCGAGGACTTAAGTTCACTCCCGTCCGCGGGGTATACCGCCACTACAGGGCCAGCTGGGGGTCCCCTGCGCACCCTGTCGGCATACGTCGCTGCGCTTTCTACATGACTGCCCGATACAGCCTCCGATGCTCGCGTACGGGCCGCCTCTGCCTCAGCTTCCGCTCGAGCGTCACGCTCTTGCTCCCTCAGGCAATGTCGAAGGTCGCTGCCCTGACCTTCGCCGAATTTATGAGGCCCTTATCTTCCTCAGCGATCAGCCCCAAGTGGCTAACAATCTCCATTATAAGCGAAAGTTGGTTCTGCCGATCGCGGCCACACCGTGTTGTGCCGACCCAAACATCCTAAGCATCCTTTTCTTAGGACGCCCCTCCATAGTTGCTGTGTTCGGAGACAGCAGCCTCTTCGCGCTCCCTTGCCAGCCTCGCCTCCACTGCCGCCACTGGAGACGCTTGCCCCTGAAGGCCCAAAGGCGAAGTCCCCGGCGACAGTGTCGCCACCACCGCCCGGAAAACCTGCAACGTCAGTCGCCCCACGGTCCAACGCTGGCGCCGCAACCGCCCTGGTGGAGTCCTCATTAAAGATTTTCTTGGCGCAAAAAGCTCCTTCGAAGAGCTCATATTGTCCCACTCTTAAGCAAAGTGCACAAAACTTTGCCACAAAATTGTGCAATTAAACTTACCTCTTGCAACACTGTTATATAGCTGGTAACCCCGTATAATATCGCGTTAAGCGTTGTACGGAACGCAGAGCCGTCGCAATGGCAGACGTCGCCCACTGACGGTGCCACTGACAATCACAGACGTCAACTGGCACACGCAATTAGCTCTCTTACTACCCACAATTGTCATATAAATAGTTCACGTTCTACCGTCATAAAGTAAACAAAAAAGGCGGTACCCGACCGCGCGGACCTAACCTAAAAGCACGTGGAGATAACCACGAGCTGCCTAACCTAACAATTACAAGCTTATAACTACGGAATTACACTAAAAACAATAAAAGTCACTGTCTTTGCTCTAAACCTAACTTAATTAAGGGTTGTACTTCCCTGATTGCGCCCGTATCGCGCCTCCAGGCACCGAAAACGGGCACCTTTCCGGGAATCCATCAACGTCTTTGCACTAGCACTAGTTTAACACTAAAAACACTACAATAGACATATAAAATCGTCCTATCGTAATACTAATTGTACAGAACACTGAAATGAACGAAACCGTAAGCCTTCAGTCGCTTTTCAGCCGCACTGAAAAGGACGACAATAAAATACACGGAGCGCTTCGTTTTGGATGCGCACGCGACGGCGATCCGCGACGTAGTATTAGTGTGGTGCGACAAATCTCACCAACCACCCATGGCCTCGCGAACCTTCTTGGTTATGCAGGCCGAAGCAGCGGGAGATACGCGGGGAATGGCCTCCACCGCGCGTACTTTCTTGATTCCCTACAAATTGTTCTTTGTCTGTCTCCTTAGTCCCTATGGTCCCTCTCCCCTATCTGAGGCGGACCACCTCCTCTCACACGTAATGAGACGGTGGTCGCTCTCAATTTTGTCTTCCCACACTCTCCATCCCGTCACCGGGATGCCTCTCGTTGTTAATGTGAGATCAATGTTGGACACTCCGTTCGCAGTGGCAAAAGTCGAAGGCTCTCCTTCCCTGTTCTCCAACTGCAGGCCCCGGGCAAGGATAAACGCCTCCATGGACTCACGGCGGTGCGTGACGTCTGGCCCACGTCCGGTGTACTGCCGCGGTTCGTAATACCACATCGGAGAGTGTGCATTGGAATCTACCCCTATAACGACCTTCTTCCCTTCAATATGGACTTAGTTTCCTCCGAGGACTTCAAATCACTGCCGTCGGCAGGATACACGGCTACGACAGGGCCAGCAGGTGGTCCCCTGGGCAACCTATCGGCGTATGTACCCGCGATCCCAGCTTGGTTAGAGGACACCGCCTCCGCTGCACGTGTACGGGCCGCCTCTGCCTCTGCCTCTGCCTCCGCTTTAGTGGCGCGCTCCTGCTCCCTCAGGAACGCCACGTTTAATGTTGCCGCCCTGACTTTCGCCGAGTTTATGCGGCCCTTGTCCTCCTCAGCGATGAGTCCCAAGTGGCCGACGATCTCCATTATAACAGACAGTTGGCTGTTAATAATAGCCATGTCCGTCCGGTTTCTTTTATTAGACGCCCCATACTCCAGATATTGTTCGCGCCGCCGCGTTGGCTTTCGCTAACAGTTGGCGCGACGTAGACCGTGCAAGGTCCACGTTATCGTCCTCAGGGTCACCCTCGGACGTGTATGGAGACACAAATTCCATCCCTGGCATATCAGCTTCCAACAAAAGCCCAGCCGCACTGCCCGCCTGCTGCGCCGAGCCCAACTTCCTCAGTGTCTGTTTTTTCGGACGCCCCTTCGTGATTTCTGCGTCCGGAGACAGCAGCCGCTTGGCACTCTCCCTGGCAATCTTCGCCTCCGCTACCGCCACTGGAGACGCTCGTCCCTGTTGGCCCGGCGGCGTGGTCCTAGGCACAGTGTCGCCACCACCGCCCAGTACACCGCCGAAGCCACACCTGTGACGTCAGCCGCCCCATGTTCCAGCGCCGGCGTCGGCGCCGCCGAACGCCCTGGTGAAGTCCGCATTAAAGACTTCCTTGGATGAAATAAGTCCATAGGTGGAGGGTCTCCCTCCTCCGACGAGCTCATCTTCGCCCGAAATTGTTCCAAAGTTTCAAAACTGGCAACACTTCATTAAAAATCCTGACTGAAACGAAGCGTACCCCTGACAGTGACAGCCGTCAAGCCGACAGCTGTCAGCCACAGACACACCCGCCACTCAAGTGTCAATCTGGCAGACGTCACCTGTCACACCAAATTAACATTAATCTACCTACAACTAATGGCGAAAAGACTTCACGTCCTACCTTCAACAACAGATAAAAATTAAAAATAGGGGGGTAGTTTACCGCGTGGTCCTAAACTAAAAAGCACGTGGAGATAACCACGTGCTGCCTAACCTACAATTTAAAAGCTAATTAAAAATAACACTAAAACTATAAAAAGTCACTGTCTTTGCTTAATAACTACTTAATTAAAGGTTGTACTTCCCTGTGCGTCCCGTATTGCGCCTCCAGGCGCAGTAAAACAGGCACCTTTGGGAGCACACACTGAACCCAGTCTTCTAAACACTAAACACTAGATAAACGGCACAAAAACACATAAAAGACGTCTTATCGATTTTTCTAAAGTGCAAAAGTTGCGCCTCCTCCATGGCCGCCCTGTACCTACGCCTATGCACATGAAAGCGTTCTCTGGCCTCCGCCTCAACCAGGCCGCCGGCCCGGCGAGTGGACTGCCAGGCTCGTCTCAACTTATTGTTGAGGTGACGCATCGGATCAAGCTCGGTCGTCCACCAATCATGCCCCGAGTCCGAATTCCTATTTTTAGCCACCTCCAGCGTCTGCTTCGCGGTGCTCAGAACCAGAGCTGCGAATTGAGCACAGACAGCCGAGGCGGGACGCTTCCACTTTGTACTACCCACCCGCCCAAGGATCCGACGCTCGAAGAGGGGCCAGTCCACACCCCGATCCCTGAGTCTCGGAAGCTCATCTAGCAGCCCAGCGCGTGGAGTGCTAGTACTTGCCAGTTCAAATGTTACGAGACGGTGGTCACACCTCTTGTAGTTAAAGTGAGGTCGATGTTGGACGTTCCGTTCGCAGTAGCAAAGGTCGAAGGTTCGCCTTCCCTATTAACCAATTGCAGGCCCCGAGCCAGGATAAACGCCTCCATGGATTCACGGCGGTGCATGACGTCTGGCCCACGTCCGGTGTACTGCCGTGGTTCGCAATACCACATCGGAGAGTGTGCATTGGAATCTACCCCTATAACGACCTTCTTCCCCTTCAAGGAATCCAGGACTCTGCCTAACTGCTCCAAATGCATATTTATGTCGTCGCTGTATTAAAAATACGCGGACACCACGTAGATTCCCTCTTTGTCAGTGAGTAAATGACACACAGTACAGTGCGTGGTTGACAGATGTTGCAAGAGGGCACATGGGAGGTCCCGACGACGGACATAAACGTCTGATTTCGGTCGTTCGCCGCACTGCAGGAAACTGCTCGCAGCGTCCCAAAAGGGTCCAGGGTAATGCTCCTGAACCAGAACGACGTCTAGATCCATTTCCTCAGCAACCCTTGGTAGTTCCAATGTGGCAAACTCTGCCCCCGCCAGATTTATCTGGCCGACTGTACACATTTCCGGAGCCATTAATATGCCGTAATCTCCACCATCCTTCTTTCGGCATGGAT